GCCATTAGGGGAATTCTGTTTATACTGACCGTGAGACGTAGTGAGAGAGCAATTAGAGAGGAGAGGTAGTCGAATTCGGAACAAAACACGCGACAGAGATCCAGAAAGAGCTAAACGACTGAAAAACCACAGTGAATCGAGTGAGAAGAGAGCTCAAAAGACGAGATCTGAGATAAGAGAGAGAGAAACAAGTACCCAGTCTGAGAAATTGGGAAGATGCGACGATGGGAAGCGCGAATCGATGAAGAAGAAAGGATTTGAAAAAAAGGAAAAAAGAGAGAGAGGAGGGAGAGACGACGAGGCTAATGGGCTCTGCTCTTAGATCGAAATCCTCCACCACAAAAACTGAGTTTGGACCCTTTTTCACGGACGGCTAGGGTTTTGAGCTTTCTTTGTTTCGGCCTTTTCTCAGTTTCTTTCTATATATGTAAGAGGAGTGAGGGTAAAAAGGGAATTTACTATAGGACTAAAAAGCCTTCTTTCACCCCTCAGCATTTTGATTGGTCCGTCCTGTCATGTATCATTTCCATTACTTGTACTTTATTAATTCAGCTTATTATTCTCTAAACTAACAATATTGTGTAACAACACACATTTCTTTATTGGTAAAACCAACAACACAGACTACTACAAGTACAATAGAAACTGCAGATAATAATATAAAATACAATTCTCTGAATTTTTACCAAAACACAAAACCAAGTTGGAAACCGGTTGTACTTGTATAATAAATAAAAGGAGTAGGTAGAGCAGAATCTCCCTCTTCTCACAATCTGTGTGCATCAAAATGACTTCATTATTATTAACATCCACCAAACATGGGAAAACCAAAAAAAAAAAAAAGGTATTTGCAAAAGACCCTCAAGATTAACAAATCAAACAATGAACATTTCCACATTGTTACTACCATTATTAATGCAGCGGAGAAAAGCTTTAAAGCAGGTCCTGTTAGTTGAAGATGGATCTCTACAGGTTATCTCTCAGCCATTTCAGAGCTCCATTTGCCACCGATCTACCCAACAAATGAGAAGACATTATGAGCTGAAAACTCACTATAAAAGAATCAAAATCAATGGCCCAAACTTTTTTAATGAATTACCCTGCAAAATCCTTGATGTTCTTCCACAAGTCGTTTTCTTGCTCCAGTTCTTGGTTTGTCTCACTAACTTCATCTGTCGTCCTGTTTTCTGAGCTACGGGGTGCAGTGCTTACAGCTGCAAAACCAAAGGCGTCAGGCATAAAGATGAGGGGCATCATCATGTATATACGTGTATCAAATAGTCTCCCATCGATGAAGATGCATACAAGAGTACAAGAGGACCCATCAATATTGACATTAAAAAAAACAAACAGTCTTAATGGATAAGGGATTTCCCTGAGATTAAAAACAAAAAAAATGGCAACTTACTAGCGGATTGCTGAGGCTTAGCACGAGTTCGTGTCCGGCTGCTGTTTGTGTCACTCAGAGATGCAAGTTCCTCCAGCAACTCCCGCTCTCCAGCACTGTTCGTAGGATCCAGAAGAATAATCAAAAGAAGGCATCAACAGACTCATAAACCCTTGTCTAGTGTAGTAAAATTGGCCCCAGGACAAGTTTAGACGGTAATACCTTATTTGATTTGGTATATTAACTTTGACTGTGAACAAATGGTCACCACGGATAGACGGTCTATTCAATTTTGGCACACCTTTCCTTGCCAGGACCAGCACATCACCAGGTTGAGTACCCGGAGGTATCTGCAGTTCAGTGTCTCCTTCAACTGTTTTCACCTAAAAAGATGTTTTAGATAAATAATAAGATGAATGATCAATTCTGAGGACATCTACACATAAGCAGAGTGTACTTATTGGACGTCTGATACGAATAACTAAATCACCTTAACAACCGCACCCAGTATAGCCTCTAGGTAACTGATCGAAAGGGTAGATAAAAGGTTTATGCCATCCCTTTGAATTCCTCGGACATTTTCAACATCAAGATATACATACAAATCTCCTGGAGGGCCACTAATGAAAGCAGAAAGCCAGTTACCAAAAATCAGAACTATGAAGATTGCCATAGCAGAAAGAATGATTTTCTAACTGGTAATTTGTCAACAAGCGGTAATTTTCACTACATACCCTCTGGGACCAGAATCACCTTCTCCGGCAACTCTAAGGATGCTACCTGCGCTAACTCCTGGCGGAATTTTGACTTTGATGCTTTTTTTTATACGCACACGTCCTTCTCCAGAGCATTTCCGGCAACTTTCCGATATTACCTCACCATCTCCACCACAGTTTGGACATACAGAAACCTAAGATGAAAGAGACAACGCATATAGGAAACTCTTAATAAGTTCTGCTATAGGGAGGTAGGTAGGTAATGTTAACAGCAAAAACAAACTTTCCCAATCAACTAAACCACAAACTGGATTCAACCAATTTCCGAGCGAATTCTCACTTCTGCATTTTCTACAAACCACGAAATCGACTATTTTGAGATAAATGTATATCGACATGAATTCTGATGCTCCAATCATCGAAGTAACTGCAGCAAAAGGAAAGAAAATCAACTGTACGGACCTGTGAAAACATGCCAAATGGTGTTTGCTCAGTTCTCATAACTTGACCCCGCCCACCACAAGTGGAGCATATTCTCATCTTGGATCCTGCTTTCGCCCCGGTGCCAGCACAAGCTTCGCATGTCTCCAGATGCGTAAGATCAAATTCTTTCTCGGAACCAAAAATAGCCTCCGAGAGTTCTAAGGTGATGTCATACCTAAAACGAACAGAAGCAAAATGAAATTTGATCACTTTTGGAGTTTTCAAAGCTAATGCAGGTTATGAAGAGCAATGAAAGACTCCAGAAAAAACCAAGCAAATGGATATACAGACACAACCCTCCACTGTTTACTGATTCAAGCCCAAGCTTGTAGCAAATTTCAGGACACAAGGTAAGTTAGGAGACACTAAAAATACTTATAAACTAATCACTGAATACTACTATCATATTAGCAACCAGTATATGTAGTTATGCCACCAGAGAATAAAGAAGAGATCCCTTCGTCTATAAATGCATTGGTTTCTAGTACAAACTCYCCGCAAATCTTCACCTTTGATAACCCTACTGCGGCGGGTTCTCCCAAAATCAGCTTGGTCCATGCCAGGAAATCCTCCCATACTCGCACCAAAGAATGTCTCGAAAAGGTCAAAGGGATTTGTCTGCTTGGAAATGTAAGAGAATGTACATGTCAAAGACAACTACTTGCACAAGCACAGGAGCTGATGACCAATGCAAATCTAAAATCAGGTTTCAACTGCTAATGCATCAGCAAGAGAAGAAATGCACGAACTGTGCCTAAGCTAGCCAGTTATGTGCATAATTAAGCATAGACAGAAATAGAAACCCCCTATAGAAAATATGTTACCGTGTAAGTACCAGAAGCTCCTCCTACTGTACTCTTGACTCCGGCTTCGCCATATTGATCGTATAATGCTCTCTTTTGGTCATCTGATAGCACCTGACAGTGTTGTAGTTCAGTAACCACAAGGAAAATAGCTGAGAGCTCAAGTCTATTTTAGCAGCAATCATTAAAACAAAGACTTCTGCTTATGAATTTTCATGCGATCTAGCAAGTAACAACACAAGTAAACCCAAAATGGCCCAAAATTAGCCATAGCTCAGAAAAACAAGCCATGAAGAGAATCGAACTGAGGACCTTAGCTTTCAGTGCATACCTCATAGGCAGCACTGATTTCCTTGAACTTCTCGGTTGCTCCAGGTTCCTTGTTGACATCGGGATGGTACTACACACGAAGTTCATAATCACTTCATCAGTTCCATGATCATAGCTCAATAAACTAGAAATATAGTACTACAAAACTAAAGAGCAGCTTAATGCGGTGTAGAATGAAGTAATCTATATAAAACATAACAAATTCTTGTCTCTTGTATGGAATCAAACAATTCATTCGTTGGCTTGTCTTACTTTGCCCACAATACGGAACCATCACAGTGCTAATGAAACAATAAAATGCAAATCCAATCTCCTCCGGATGCAGAATAATAACTTGAATGATTCGGTTTCTACATTACTCCAATCAGGCGATTAAGGGCTAGCGTGTAAGCAACAGTGTAATGTCATAACCGAGAAATTCACAAGTTCCGGTGTTGGAAATTTCTACACATAGCTCAGTAACAAAAKGCAACGAGCAAACAAGGAAAACGAAATTCGAGAATTAGAATGAAGGTAGTATACCTGACGAGCCAGGCGTCGATACGCAGCTTTAATCTCCTTGGAATTAGCAGATTTAGGCACACCGAGAGTAGAGTAGTAGTCTCCGGAAGCAGCAAACACGACGACGGAACGGCGAGAGAATCCCCGTCGATTTCGATTAGAGGAAGAAGATGAGACGGATAAGAAACTCTTGTGATACCTGAGATTGGTACCTCCGTCGTAAAAGGCGGAAAAATTAGAAGAGAGGGACGGAGGACCATCGGCGGAGGCGGCGGAGAAGCAGAGCGAAGAAGGGATGAGGGAGGAGGAAGCGAGAGTAGCCATTTGAGAAGAAGGTGAGAAGGGCAAAATGGTTGGTATTAATCGCAAGCTATGAAGAGGGAGAGGAGAAGCTTGGCAATGGTGATAGTTCCACACTAG